TGCGGGGGAATCCCTGAAACATTATTATCAGCAACGATAACTATGATGATCCTTAAGATAGGTTCTTAGGAATGAAGATAGAAGAAAACCGAGATGGGTAATTGGGTTAATTGTTGATGTGAAATAGATAATTAAACAAATTAATTATATTATTGTGGGTTGAAAACCCTATGCACTCACCAAGTTTCCCAACCTGACCCACTCAGTTTGTTTGTATCACAGGAAACGGTACAAATACAATGATGTTTGCATCCAATGATAGATTCGAGGAAATATAGACCATAGTCTGAAAGATGTTGTAAGGCCTGTAGTAACCATGTTTATGCTTATGTTTCTTGTATAAGTTATGACATCCCAAAGTTTTTAATAATCAATGAAAAACATTTCTTCGGAAATACTTTTATGGGACAAATTTTGCAGTTATAAATAAACTCTGTTTTAAAATAAGCATAAATAAAAAGGTCTTTTCTGACCGAGAAAATGAGGATGTCACAGACAATCCCACAATATGTCCAACAATTCCTTACCTCGTTCACAGTTTCCTACGAAAGGTGCTTTGGCCATCTAGCCAAGTAAACAATACTCACATACATCATTTGACTCCAAGTCAAACGATTGCAATATCCCATCCTTTTGGAGCTTAGCGATGCGTTTCTTGTTTACATGCCCAAGACAACAATCCCACAAGCACGATGTGTCAAATACATTAGAATTAGAGAAACCAACGTTTAACATTGCATTATTAGTGTTGCCTACACAAACAATACTTTCATAAATACCGTTACAAGGACTAGCTTTAAAAATAAAGGAACCATTTTTATAAACTAAAATGTCACCATTTTCATTATTAAAAGCAATACGCAAACCTTCCTTGTAGCATGCGTGAAATGAAATAATGTTTCACGTCATATTTGGCAAGTAGCAACAATTAAATAAACTAAAAGACACTTCATTATTCAACACGAGCTTGTATTCCTAGATCATTGTAACATGTGAAATTCATTCGTTACCCATGATCAGGTTCAACTCTCCATGCTTTAGTCTTCTACTTTCCTTTATTCCTTGTAAATCCGACCAATTGTGAGTACCACATCCTGTATCGAGAACCCAAGAATTAAAATTTGACATACTATGAAGTTCAATCATAAAAATACATGACGTGCCAACACCCTTGGCTTTGTTCTTCTTCACGTCTTCAAAGTACTTTGGGCAGCTACGTCTCCAGTGAGCTTTCTCTTGGCAGTAAAAGCAAACGACCTCCTTTGGGTTGGTGTTAAGCACTATCTCAAAGTTGGCTTTTTCTCTTAAGGCCTTGATTGGAATATTTAACCTTGGCTTTACCCTTAACATGAGAAAACATCTTCTTCTTATTAGTACCATCATGACCAATGGCCAAGACATGAGCAGTAGGGTTGGAGCTTTTGGTCTTAGTCAAACTAGTTTCGGCTATTTTCAACATGCCATGAAGCTCCATGAGGGTCTTATTGAGATTGTTCATATTATAGTTCACGACGAACTGATAATAAGAACTAGAAAGCGAGTTCAAGACCATGTCAATGGCTAACTCCTTTGTAAATCCAACACCCAAATTCCCTAGTCTTTCAATGTACGACTTCATCTTTTGGACGTGCGCACACACATAATTCTCATCTTGATGTTTACAAGCCATCAAGGAGTTGACGATCTTGAACCTTTCTTGTCGAGCTTACTCTTAGAACATTGTGTTTAATTGCTCATTTATTTCAAACGCCCCAAGACTCACGAAACTCTTTTGAAGCTCAAGATACATGGTCGCTAATCCATTCCAAATAGTTTTGATTGGTGAGTTTCTCCTTAGAATTCAATTTGTAACTTGATTTACTTCCAAGATTTTTATAAATTTCATCATTATCTTCCTCTTACACAATTTTCATTTGCAACTATGATATATATAGTTTGGTAAGTGTTCGGCAGAAAGATGTGATCTAAGAGGAAGATAATAATGAAATTTCGAAAAATTCTGGAAGTAAATCAACTTAGGGGTTCAAGTTTAAGAACATTGTAATGCATATATGATACAAAACGATGTTGTATGGTGTGTTTTGATACCTAAACTTATTTACCTTGTATGTATATTCACATTTCCTATATATATATATATATATATATATATATATATATATATATATATATATATATATATATATATATATATATATAGAGAGAGAGAGAGAGAGAGAGGTAGTTCCATTGAGATTTCGAAAAAATAGAGATCTTGAAGTTCAATCTCAGACGCATATTTCTCATCTACCGCTCTAGCGCTCCGGTGTACTGGCATGACGGAAGAGTTATATTCATAAATGTTTATGCAGCGTCGTCCGTTTCTTTTTCTCGTACCACCTTCCCCACCTCTACCACCGCCACATCCTCCTCAAGCAACCACCATAATTATATATGATTAATCACTTTGTGAACATACATATATGTATAATCATTTATGATTAGACATATATGTATAAACATGTATAATCATATATCATTATACCTCTTCGCCATATAATCATTTATGATTAGGCATATCTTGTCACGCCGGCATGCTGGAGTGTTAGAGCAGCAAATGAGAAATATGTAGCTGAGGTTGAATCGTCAAATCTCTATTTTTTCATAATCTCAATGTGTGTGTGTGTCTATATATATATTATATATATATATATATATATATATATATATATATATATATTATATATATATGGGAGGGTTCTATGGAAAATGCGTGATTAGAACAAGACATGCTAGAACCAATGAAAGAATTACAACACATTACTTTAGAGTTAACTACAAAAATAACTTCTACAATACATTACTTATGAATAAAGAAATGGACATGTGTCACTTGATCATTGGTTCCAGCATATGTTGCTCTAGGGGGTGGTTCTATTGGAAAATGCATGATTAAGGCAACACATGTTGGAACCAATGAAAACATGACAAAACATCATTTTAGATTAAACTACATAAATAACTTCTACAGTACATTACCCATGAATAAAAAATTGGACACGTGTTACTTGCTTATTGGTTCCTAGTTATGCATCTTCTATTGAACCTACTTTTATATATATATATATATATATATATATATATATTATATATATATATATATATATATATATATATATATATATATATATAGCACTCGTTAACTTGGTCAATGGTCAAAGAAAATATTTGCATGCAAAAATCCAACATTCTTTATGAGTTGTAGAATCCACCAATGACCAAGCTTGTAGCCCATACGACGACTCGGATTTATGGTCTGGGTGGTACCGCACACCACTTCGTGCACCCTTATAGAAAACATAACTTAAGAATAAATTATAAAATATATACTAGTTAAAAAATTAAAAATTAAAAAAAAAAAAAAAAAAAAAAAACTAGTTGTTGAGATTTGATATGTAGGTGTTTGCAATATATTCCACTAGACATATCATTACACATTTGTCTTTTAAAACCATATTGTGTAAAATAATTCAAGTGTATTATTTTTCTGATTTTTCTTCGAACCATTGCCCGTGCAGGTTATGCTAGTATACCCCAACCACTTTTTTGGGACACCAAAAGCTCGTTCCAGATCCTTTTTTGTTGATTATTGTTTTGCTTAACCTTTTTTTTCAAATGGATGGGTATATATTTGCACAAAAGTAGCCCAAGTAGGGTATATCTCATCTGCAAAATAATACATATACTTGTATTGTACACCATTAACATGAAATGAGCAATTTGGTGCAATTTCATGTGCTTCTTTGTAGAATAATGACAACTGACAAAGAATATTGAGGTCGTTGTTGGAACTCGCAACACCAAAAAAATGTCTGTCAAAACCATAAATTTTGCGAGGCTACACGTATTATATGAGGGCACAACTTCTGAACTTGATGTTGAAGAGGCTACACGTATTATATGAGGGCACAACTTCTGAACTTAGGTCCCGTTTGATAGTTTATGTCTGGGAAAGTGCTGTCTGGTAAAGTGTTGTCTGAGAAAGTTTTCTGACTGGGAAAGAAACCATGCTGTTTGATTATACATCTGATTGACTGTGCTGAATGATGAAAAAAAGTAATAATTCAATAAAAAATATAATTAAAAAAAGTTATTTAAAAAAATTAATAATCCAATAAAGAAAGAAAGAGGCGGGGTTTGGTGTATAATTGTCTTTCCAGCTCATTCAGCCAGAAAGATATGATTTTAGGGCTTTCTGGGAAAGACATATCTTACCGGGAAAGACCCCTTCTTTTGTGCAAATCAAACAGTCTTTCCGGTCCATTCAGCCAGAAAGATCTGTTTGAACCTGGAAAGATGTGTATCAAACGGGGCCTTAATGTTGAAGAAGAACACATCTGTTATACACATATTTGTTAAGTACGGAATCTAAACTATATAAATCCATTGTTTGATTTTAGAAATTTGAGAAAGATTGATTGATTTTTTTTTATTAAAAATTAGAAAGATGTAGATTTATTAAATTTTTTTAAAAAAAAAATAGTTGTAGAAGAATATAGTCATTAGAAGCATGGAAGACGCACAAGATGCTCGGGGAAAACAACCCCAAGACCTTTTCCGAGGGAGTTGGCCTCATTCCCTGCAGGGATGTGGTTCCAATGGCCTTTCCCTGCTTCGAGACCATTAGCTTTAAGTAAGTAGCAAATTATTGAACTCAATCCCGAGTATAATGGTTTTCAAAAAGAATTCAAGTGTTCTAAAGGGATACCCTCAATTTAAATAGTGAGACACTTACAGATCTATAATTTCCAATATAGATGTTCTATGTCACAAAAGAATATACTAAAACAACATTTTAATAACATTTTTTTTATAATAAAAGACTCCATCCACAAAAGAAATTTTAACATGCATACTTACAGGACCATGAAACTCGCATATATTTAATTGCTCAATATTTGGTTGGTTAGTTGAATGAATTTGATAATCCAAATTACAAAGTACTTTCCATATAAATTTGTGTAGCTGATGATATATTTCATTACAAGAAGTGAAAAAGTGTAGAATATAAAAATCCAGACATTTGAGCAGATAACATAACAAAACGAATACCCCTCTCCTATCTTGTATAAAGATTAAAGAATACTGCTGACCATAGCAGAAAAACCCAAAAATATGGCATGCTAAAGGAAAGTAACAACAATGTTACAGTTTGAAAAGGGCAGAAGCAAGAAGAAAAAAATAATAAAGAATTGACCTTTTTACAACAATCAAAGCGTATGCTATATTTGCAAACATAAGGAATAATATATTTATATATATGATATGATATGATATGTGTGTGGGTAGTGGGTAGTGTATGTTCATGTTTCCGTGGCCTTTACTCGTGTAAAAATAGGAAGGCTGGATTCTCGATGAGTTCTAGTGCCGGTTTCACATCTGCAAACTCTTTTACTTGCAGTGAACTTGACAGATCATCAACAGAGAAAGGTATGCTGCCATTCAAAAACATGGTTGTTAATTAATTCATCTAATCAACTTATTGAGAATTAATTTTGAAAAACTATAGGTGTAAATTTTACCTGGAATTGTCATCGAGTAAAAATGAACTGCTGGCAGCACTGTTGGAGTCCTCTGTCATTAATACCCGCATGCTTGAAATCACCTGGTTAAAAAATATAAAAAACATGGGATATTTTATATTTAGAAAGAGCCTAATCTAATCTATCAAAAAAAATATAGAATTTGTTTTTAATTAATAGCTTACATCAGGAGATACACTTCGGGTGTTATAGTTGTCATCCCAGTAAAGCGTGCATATTCTATACAACTGCTGGACACTTAGAATCTGGTAATAAACACCCGTATATCAAGTCAGTCACTTCAAAATAATATAAAGTATATCTCTCTCTGTGTGTGTGTGTGTGTGAGAGAGAGAGAGAGAGAGAGACGTACGGGGCATAGATCATGGATGATTTCGTCATATGATATTCTGTATTTTTGGTGTATAACCTGAGGGTGGCATCAAACATGTTAAAACAATCATATCTTGAAATAAACATATAAATAAAGGTATACATACCAAGAACCCAACAGCTTGTCTAATGTGCTTAAGTTCATCCCAAGCTGACCCCGCATACTGCAAAAACATAACAACACTTTTCAGTAGCAAAAAAAAAAAAAAAAAAGTAGAAACAACTTTACAACAATATCTCAATGATTTTATAACAATTTTGTGGGAAATATATTATATTCTATTATATGTACCTCTTCTTTAGCCTGAGCACACCATAGCTCCAACTCAGCTAACCCAGCTTTCACATATTCTCCATTGCTAAAGGTACAACACTCCCGGCGCAAAAGAAGACTGGATTATAATATTAGGTGAAAGAAAAAGTTTTATCAGTAAAATCAAGGAATATGATAAGCCAAAATTCAGAAACAAATCAAATTTGGAGTAAACTTGCCTGTTGAATAGTTGTACGTTGATGTATGAGAAAATCTGAGTAAATATTTTCTGAACAATGATTGGGGGAACCTGAAATGCAACAGCCATATAAGCATTCCAACATCTATATATATATATATATATATATATATATATATATATATATATATATATATATATTAAGAAAAGAGAGGATACATACGAAATTTTCTTTCAATGTAGTGAGGAGAGTGTTGAGGCAGTCAATGATGCCTTGCCAATGATTAGATTGTGAATCTTTGCTAAAGGAGCGCCCAGATCGTAGTACTCCCTTGGATGCTCGTGGTGCCTGAATTTTTTCACAATTGCAAAAATCAATCAATCAATCAACTCATTTAATTAACCATGGTTATAAGAAGAGTAAATTAGGAGAGGAAGTTTAAGTACCTGAATACATAACGTGAGGAATGATCCCAATTCCTTCTTCAAATTGTCACGGATAATGCCATACATTTTCTCCACATATGCGGTTAACTGCTGCTTAAAAAGAAGGGCAGGGTATTTGGCCTCCACCTGGCGTACTACCTCTAGAGCTGCATTAGCTGCAGCAAGGTTCACTGTAGAGGGGGATGAACGAAATCCCTGTTTACATAATAAAACCAAATCATATCAATATCATTCACTGAATATACATTAAATTAAAATATATATATATATATATATATATATATATATATATATATATATGATATTAAGCATCAAATAGCAAGCAATACCATTGTCATTCTCCCAAACAGTGAAGTTGGAGGTGGAGGTTTACGAACTGAATTAGCACCATCAGATTTAATACTCCTTTGCAGTAAGAACAACAAAGTAGACGAATTCGATAACCAATATGCCATGTGTTCATTATTATCTTGATCCTGCAAAATAATTTTTTTTACTTTTAATGAATCTAAAATATAAAATGAATGTTCCCTTTTGATTTTCTTCTGGAAAAATACCTCGATGGCTGAACCAATCATCTGAATGAGACGATCAAACACGCTAGTCCTTTCGGCTTCAAAAGATTTCCATTGGATAAGGCATTTGTATATAGTAAATGCAGCAACTGGTTTGCCTTGACTGAATCCAATGTCTTTCTTAACACATTCAATAAGAGCATCAACGTTTTCCTGCAACAAATAACATTTCAATGAATATAACAATACCACTATTCACCAGACTCAGTTGCAAAAAGAAAGGATATCATCATACATGTTGACGATCAACTGGTGGTCTTTTAGCCTTGCTGTCAAATTCATTATTCAAATTCCTAGCAGCAGGTGTTTGTGTCTCCTGAAAATATTTCCTCCCACATGTTAACCAAAACTTCATTCAAACATTATATTAATACCACATCAAGTAAGTATAACATTGCTCATTGCTTTACATACCTCACTTGCAAAGTGACCATTCGCCATGCTCTGTTAGGAAAAATTAGTAAATGGGTAAATATTTGAAGTAAAGAAATAATAGAATGATAAAAATGAAGAGATGGATTTACACCTTAGCTTCAGGAGTTTGTGGGTAGTCAGCCATACGTGCAGAAGTTGTAGAAAATGCTTTCTGTCGAAGAATTTGATTCTCAGATGCCATGTCAGAAACCTTTTCTTGAAGACTAAATGAAGAAACACAATTTATTATAATACATAATGAGAAAGCTCTGAATAAGAATATATATATATATATATGTTTAAAATAATTGGACACAAACCTCTGCATGGCAGTTTTTAACTGAATAATTTTCGTCTCTGCATCCAAAGCTTGTTTCAATCTCTCCTCACTGAGTTTATTTGTTTCTTCATACTTTTTCTCTGTATCATCAATTTTCTTCTCCAGAGAGCTAACCAAATCCTATTTATAAAAGAACAACCACATAACAAATAAAGCTCAAGGCTCAATCTCAACAAAAAAGTAAATCCTGAAAATTGGCCAATAAACTTAAGCTTTCTCTCTCACCTTGAGCTTCTCATTTTCAGAAGTAAGCTTATTCGTGAGCTCATGGTCAACAACTTGGACTTCCTGAATGACAGGAACAGTTTCAACTACCTTTTTGGTAGTTTCACGTTCCTTCATGAGCAACTCTTTGGTCTCTTTGAATTGAGATTGCATATCCTGTAAAGCAGATTGGAGTTTTGCATTTTCCTGTGTTTTGGCTTCTTCCAAATCAGCCTGTAAAAAATGGTGTCATTATACATACAGTGAAAGACAAACAAACATAAAAGTTAAAACACAAAAACTCATTCTCTGCTCTTACCCTCATTCGCTTCTCAAGTTGCAGTCTCCATGTCAGCTCTTCAACTTGCTTTTCTAGTTTATTTTTCGCAGCTTGCAGTGCACCAGTTTCCCTTGCAGCCTACATTTCAAGAAAAAACATAGAGTAACTACCAAAAACTATTGTATTAACATCAAAATGTTACAGATACAGTGGAATATTTTACCATTTTAAGCTTTTTCAGTTCTTTACGAGCAACCTTTCCTCTCCATGAACATTGTATGGTAACTGCAGCCTTCTTTGCTTTCACAAAGTGCAAGCGAGCCAAAAACTTGCGACAATGGCTCTGTGGTCAAGAATTAAAGAAAGTCAAAATCAAGAATTACCATCATGTTTGACAATAACACATTTGGGGGGAAAAGTTACAAGACCTGAATAAAGATTGCTGCTTTTGTCTGCCTTCTAAAGCGAAGCTCATTACGTGCAGACATTCCTCTTAAGCCAGTTTGGATAGAAACAGCAGAAATGTGAAGCTCCTTGTATGCTTTTCTGGCAAGATACATTCGCAAATTTCTTTGAATCCGTATAGAAGCAGCTTCTCTTCTCATGCTTTCATAAACTTGGCGAGTAAGTTGACCTGGTCAAAGAGAATGAATTAAACATGACAGGTGTCAGATGGTTAAACTTATCTAAGAAAGTAAATGTAAATCTGAAAGTCAAAAAGAAAAAGTACCTCTGCAAACAGATTGAATTTGCAAGATAGATCGACGCAACAATATGTAACTTTTTCTAGCAATATATGAACGGACTTTTCTTTGAATGATGCTGGCTGATCTACCTAACACCTCAGTCCTGCGAGCATCCAGCTCAGCCATCTGTCCAGCTCTTAAAAACACCTTTGTTTTACCAATCTGCATAAAAAATGATTCTTGAATTTTTAAGATTCTGTATGCAGAAAAGCTTCCAACAAATGGAATTGCAGACTTGCAGTCCTACCTGATACCCTTCAAGTCCAACTTTTTCAAGAAGCCTCTTGCAAGCAAGGACTTCATCATTGCTATCATAAGTCAATTACAAGGATACTTTTAACTCAGTTTACTCATCTCATTAAACAATTGAGTTATCAGAAAAAATATATATATCTAATCTTTCAACTTACTTTCCATCCAAAACTTCAGGAGCCAGGATGCCAAACCGATCAACAAACTCAACAAACGGTTTTCTGGTGGGATATCCAGCACAACTGATCCTGATAGCCTCCAAGACTCCCTGAATTAAACAGTGTGTATCAATTAAATATATACAGAAAAATGAAATAAAAAAATGAGTGGAAGAAAAATGATGTGTCATTGTCATGCACGTACTTACCCCACATCGAAGTTGTTGTAGAACATTATGGTTTTCAAAGATAGCAGGCTTAAGAAGATTGTTGGGCTTTACACAACGTATGTAATGAGGCTCTGTTGAACTCAAAGTTTCAAGCAGTTGTTGTAGTTGTTGCTGAAACGAAAACGAAAAAGAAAAAGAAATAATTATTCTGTGTGTTTGCAATGGTGTTTAAGAGGAGAAATGGAGGGTGGGAGATCGTACCTTGAATCTCGTACCAATTGAAGAGAACTTTGATGATTTGGAGGATTCATCAGATGAAGTTGGAAACAAACTTGCAACAAAGGAACAACTTGAAGCACTCAAGAGTGCTTGATGTTCAGCAATGACATAATCTTTGTTTTTGTCAAGAAAACAACTCCGTTTGATATGTGACCTAAAAATACAATTCAAATTCATGATTCATGGTTTCTCAAAAACCAGGAAAAGTGTTTATTCTTAAAAGAACTTACATCTCCAGCATAATGACAAATGGTGAAGTCAGAACGAGCCAACTTTGGCTTGGTGAAACGCTGATGGTTCTTAAAAGTTTGATACAGCTTTTGTGCAAATGTTTCATGTGTTGATCTGGGAAACATACTGCAGAAACACAAGTGGTTGTTTACAAAATGCCATAATTATATCTTTTTATATAGAATCCATATCTTGATACAAATAAAAGAACTGTTTCCTATGTTTGACTACTTACCAAGCTTCATCTAGAAGAGCTATAATGCCACCAGGTTTCTATACAAAAGAAAGAAAATGCATCAGAACTGAAATAACATGAACATTGCTTAGATACTAATTTTAGCATATAAACACCAAACCTTCTCAATGAGATCCAAGATATCTTGGTTGTCAATAAATTCAATGTAGCTCCAATTGATTTCTTCTTTTGTATACTCTTCTTGCTCCATTTTGAAGACATGCTGCAAAACAAAAATAGCTCACCGGATAACCATGTGTATACAGTATTTATATTTCAGCAATGAACTTGGAAAAGATATATACCTGATTGAAATGTTGTTGGAGTTTTTCATTTGTCAGATTGATGCAAAATTGCTCGAAGCTGAAAGAATCCACATTTGGAATAAGATATTATGCCACTTGGCATAACTGGTCAACTATGAAAACAAAAGGCATACCAGTAAAGCACCTGTTTGTCTTAAAACTCTCGAATCCGTAAATGTCCAGCACTCCGATTATGTATTTTGAGTCTGGATCTTGACCAATTGAGTTATTAATCCTATCAACAAGCCTGCAATGCAAATTGGATAATATAATTATAATTAAAAGTACATCACTTTAACATAGCTATTGAATTGAAGCTGTAGAAAATCTAGTTTAGTCAGCATGAAACAAAGTGAAGCATACCAGTCAAACAATCTTGAGTAAACAACTTTTGCTAATGCATCTCTACTGATAGCAGCAGCTTCTGGATCCAGCCATTTGGTGATGGTCTCATCACGTGTTACAATTACACGTTTGCATAGAGAATCCTCTAAAGATTTCACATCACACCTGAACAAATCTTTAGCTTATTAGGAGATTTACTAGTGCTTATCACTCTCAGTTAAATGTGTGTAATAAATTTGGCCACTCACATGAACAGCTCTGCAGCAGTTTTTAGATGGAACCAAGATTTTTCATCTTTGGGTGTAGATGAATCCATTTCCTTTCCTTTTGTAAATTCTATGTTCCCCAGATGAAGAATTGCAGCCACAACTCTAAAAATTCCATCCTGTAGAAAGAAATATTTATTAAAAAAAAGTGGAAGGTAACATGCGATTAAACCAAACTTTCGCTTTTTGGGTTATTTTTTAAACTTACCTGCTCCTCAGAGTGAATTCCAACAACATCCATCGCATTCTTTGTAGCAATGTATTCTTTTCTTTCATCTAGCCCATCTATCTGGTAGCAGTTTGATTGATTAAGATAATGAAATGTCTTTGGATCTCCCACTTTGTATCTTTTTAAATCCTGGAAGCATAATGGATATGATTAATACGGAAAACACACCAACAAAGAAGATTCAAGAGAACATTTTAAGAAAATAAAGCAGAGATATGTTGAAGACGATACAGTCTGTAAGCATATTTTATATTTTTGTTCACAAAATGAATGCCAAAAATAGGGTCAAACCCCATTTACCTCAGGTGGTGCAGCACAAAGCATGTAGAAGCAATGATAATTCCTCTCAGGATCAGATAGTTGACAAACACGAGATCTTTCCAACAAATATGTTCTGATAGCAGCCCCAGATATTCTTCCCTTCTCATCAAACTGAATCTCCACAAACTTACCGAAACGACTGAAGCAATAGCAATAATCAGATACCACTAACTAATGTACAATATGGTAGAACTTTAAAGAAGAAGAGGTTATTCCCACCTTGAGTTGTTATTTCTGACAGTTTTCGCATTACCAAAAGCTTCCAACACAGGATTGGACTACAACATGAAGAAAGCATAAAAATATTATGATCCATTATAAATATCTAGTAAAAAAAAAGTTTATAAATGTAAAGAGTAAACACCTCCAAGACTTTTTGTTCAACACTCCTTCCATCAGTTGAAGCTCTACCTCCCATGTAAGCAAGATAACGCATGAGCTGTTTTGTGCTTTCAGTTTTACCAGCTCCACTCTCTCCACTAACCAAAATTGACTGACTTATCCCTTCATTGATCATAACCCTGCACCAAATCAATGGATTTTTTTCACTTATTGTGATTCCTTAATCAACATACCACAATATGATTGTGAAACAGTACCTGTATGCTGCATCTGCAACTGCAAAAGGATGGGGGCTCAATTCCCCAAATGCTGCCCCTTTGTATTGTGCCATCATATGGCTATCATACAAATGTGGCAATCTTGTGAAAGGATTTACAGCTATTAATATACTCCCTGTGTAAGTCTGGTAGCAATAGCACCATTTTAAGTTCATTAGCTTCGATTATGTATCTGAGATGTTTATATTAAAAGAATAGGTCATAACAGAACTCACATATATCTCATTTATATCGTATCTAGATCTTAAGTTAGCAAGAACCCCTGGTTCGTGCAAATAAGCAAGCTTAGTCATATCATCCACTCCACATGGTGGTGCTTCGGCATCTTTAGGATATACATGTGATGACTTGGCAACAACCTATAATTAGAATCAAAAGGAAACAAATTATAAACATAACTAGACAAATACAATGACACCATTTCTCATGTGCAAACAAAAGAGTTTGAAGCATTGCAAAAGAACAAAGTATACAACTATACAAGAAAAGACAAAGCTCTCCTTGACTGGTCTTTCAATCATCCAATGGGATTAAAAAGACAAATGACATAAAAACTCCACAAGCAGGTTATGATTGAAGTTTCAATGATAATGTAAACTCAAAATACATTTAATATAAGAAGCTAGAAGTTAAGAAACAATACTCACCGTCTTTCCTGAAGTAGAAGCAATCTTGATGTTTTCACCAGTAACCTCAATAACTTCCCCATCTATCCAAGCCTCATCTGGATCCTCCACCCAAACAAGTGATCCAACCCCTACACTGACTGCTGCCTACATAAGGTACCAATATGTTTTGAAGTTAGGGATACTTCTATAAGATATTCCCACAAATTTTGTTAAAGAAGTTGGTTCCTTACATCTCATCAGTTATAAATTCAATGAAATGACAACAAGCAAAAAGCATATGCTAACAAGATCAACAATGTAGATGGATTTAAATATAAAAAAGACGCATCCATCATCATATGAGCTTCACATTTAACCACCTAACGAAAGAAAGGTAGTTCAGCATCCAGAGCACCCTAGGTCCAAATCTAAAATATGCATAATTTTGACCAGCTCTACAGAATTCTAGTCATCTATAGATATTAATCAAGAACCATTCTTTTCCACAGAAAAATAAAATTATTTGAAAAAAAGGAACATCTTTAAACGAATTAATCGTTACTAAATATAATAAAGAGCTGAAATAGACATCTATTAAACGCAAAACACCGACATTTCATACCAAACATTTTTTTAAAAACGTAGATCGTAATTAGCTACAAGTTTCAAGTAAAATACTGCTAACTAGTTGAATGAATATTCAGAATAACACATACCATTTGCAGTTAAACTTGGATCAGATCGGGGAAACGGCAGCGCCTGGAATCACTTCAATGTAACAACAGATCAACTACAGCTTCTAACTATGCTTCATTAATTAAATTTAACAAGCTAATACACAAATCAACGAGTATATCCCTTCCAAGCAGCTTAATCCGTAAAAAGAACAATAAATTGATCCGATGTTCGTATAAATCGAATAAGAACAGTGAAAAATCAGGCAGCAGAGCAGAGATCGAGTTGATTGATGGGCCGCTGCCGAATATGGAAGTCGGATTCTTGAGATTTTTAAGGAAAATGGGATCCCTAAGTTTTCGTGTTTTGTTGATGAAAGGCGACTGTTTCTTTTCTTTTCTTTTCTCCTCGCTTAGCTGGGGTTCCCTCCCACGTCGTTCGGAATTGCTCTAAATTCTAATTTTCATCATATAAAATTACAATTTATATATATTATTAGTTTACTTTAAAATAAATTATATTTGTGAAAATCGTTTCCAAATATATATTTTTGAAAATCAAATTCGAAACGTATGTACTTTTCGTTCAAGTGCAATTTGTCAAATAGAAAAGCAGATACTCAAATGATCTTTTTAAGTTATATATATAAACCCCCCTATTATAAATTAGATATCGTAATAATGCAAATAATTATTAATTTAAATATGGCAATTTCAACTCATTGTTTTGATAGGGCTAATATTATTCATATTTTATCTCTAATTTATCAAATGGTATCATTTAAAAAAAATTAACTATAAATAAAAGACTTAATTGCAAAAATAGTCTCTGTGGTATGCATTTTTTTTGCGTTTTGGTCCAAACCACGAGTTTTTTGGTTTTGTGGTCCTTTTGGACTGGTTTGTTTGTGAGAATGGTCTCTGTACTTAACACCTGTTAAAAAGAATTCGTTAACCCCCTCATGTGCCTTGCACGTGAGGGTATTTCTGTCTTTTTACTTCTAGGGACCATTTTTGCATACGGAAAAATAAAACCTCCTTTATATATTATTTTCTATTCTCAGCTTCTTCCCCAACGAAGCTTCTTCCCCAACGTTCTTCACTGTTCTTCCCCAACGACTATTTTCTTCCATTTCTCCTTCCTAGCCTGCAATCGAACAATGGTGGTTTGTTTTTGTGGAAAGCTCGCTTTGGTGAAAACGTCTTGGACACCACTGAATCCCAGAAGGAGGTTTTATGCTTGCCCTACTAAGGATTTTGTTTGTGGGTTTATCGGGTGGGTTGACCCGCCTATATGTGCTAGGAGTAAAACCATCATATCTGGTCTTCTAAGAAACATAAATACGTTGGAGGAAAAATGTAATGGGCTGGTAAGAAGTATCAACATGTTACAGGAACAGTGCAATGGACTTTTGAACAGGAACAACATGTTGGAGGCAAGGTGTGATGCATTGAAGGATGAAGGTTTCAAGTTGAAGATGTATTTATGTGCAAGATGGTTTATGTTTGTGATTGTTATCTTTAGTATTTGGTCTATGTAATGGATAGGGTTAGACAAATGTGGGGGGTTTTGTTGATCAAGTGATGCAGGGTAAAAATGGTATAATTTTGTTGTAAGTTTACTTCATCATGTTTGTAATGAATTCCAATGTTGTTAATGATATAAATGATATTGAAGTGTGAAAATGTGTTCAAAATATGTATCAATAGTCAAATATAAGCACATAAATAGAACCAAAATGTAACAAAAGTACACTACCAAAATACGTGTCATAAATTGACCAAAATGCACATTTCATTAACCACATGAGTGGAACCAAAAACAATTACCAAATTAAGCAAACAAGTGTCTATGCACCATACATAAGCACATCATCAAACCATAACTAAAGTTTTCAAAAAAAAAAACAGTTTTTAACAAGCAGCTAAATAGTCATTGCACCACAACAAACAACCAAAATCACTTCTTGGATTGATTCCCACCTTGCCCTTTACAAGTCGTAGAGTTGTGTCCCTTATTATTGCATTTGCTACAAGTAACACTGATATGTTTCCTTGATAGCTTCTGCACTCCATCATTTGTTGGCCCTTGGGAATCTTCTTCTTGCATCTCATTGACTCCATCACCTTGACCTGCCTTCTGCCTTTTGCTTAACCTTTCACCTTCACTTTGCTACAAGAACCTTCCCCTCTTTTTGAATTCCCAACTCTACCCCTTATATACTCTGGTGAGAATGCATCATTTTTACTCCCAAGAAGAATCAAAGACATGTACTCACCAATTGGCTCATCATTGACATGGTTCATATTTTTCAATGGAGATTCTACATGAACTTCAGCCTCATATTCAGCCCCTTGATCATCATTTTCTGGTAATTCCTCAATGACAACTTTACCCTTTGCATTTGGAGACATGAAGTAAGTGAGTAGATTTGTCTTCCCATGTTCTGTGTACACCTCAATCAACTTGTTATTTCGAATAAATTTAGAAAGATTGATAACATCCTGATCATTCCCTAAAGCTCTAAGACCAAAATGAAAGTCACCATTGGGTATCCTGAAATGGTAGTATATCACTGGGGATTCATCAGTCAATTCAATCATTCGTGGGCCTGGGTAACCTAGGTCAAGCATTATGACATCAAGTTCATGTACAGAAAACTCATCTATGTCCACATATTCAACATAACGCACTTCACCTCCAGTATACTTTATATCAGGTAACTTAGTAAACTTCCCACCATGATGAAGCATAATACTAAACCATGTGGGTGCACCCGCTACGAGTCAAAATTGTACATGATAACAAAGTCAAAATTTGGCGGATTCTAGTATAAATCAAGGGTAAAATGAAAAATAGGAATGTTTAAGAAAACAGAGCAACTTACCATATACGGATGATACGTCGACAACTTCATTTTTTGGTCTGATCTGCCACATTACGTACACCATTTCGACTTTAACGTATGACCTTGTCTCCTTTTGCTTCGATTAGGTTCTTTGGATAACGAAGGATGTTTTTTTGCAGGTTTAATGGAGCAGAAGGAAGAAGGAGGGAGGTGGGGAGTTGACGGGTGTTTGGGATTGTAAATGAGGGATAAAAGGTAGAAGGAAGCGTTGACATTCGTATGCAAAAATGGTCCCTAGAAGTAAAAAGACAGAAATACCCTCACGTGCAAGGCATGTGAGGGGGTTAATAGATTATTTTTAACGGGTGTTAAGTACAAGGACCATTCTCACAAACAAACCAGTCCAAAAGGACCACAAAACCAAAAAACTCATGGTTTGGACCAAAACCCCCAAAAAATGCATACCACAGGGACCATTTTTGCAATTAAGTCTAAATAAAAGTGGTGGAATGGATTATGACTCATCTAAAAATGCATCCCTATTCTAATAAAGACAAAATTGCAAAAATGGTCCCTGTGGTATGCATTTTTTTTAGGGTTATAGTCCAAACCTCGACTTTTTTTTATTCGTGGTCCTTTTGGCCATTTTGTACGTAGATTTGGTCCCTCGTAAAATTGAAATGACTGTAATGCTCTTATGATATATTTTTTTATGTTTTTTCTATTTAATTTAAATAAAAAAGAAAATAAATAATTAATTTGGGCCCACATATCTCTCTCTCGAGAGAGAGAGAGAGAGAGAGAGAGAGAGAGAGAGAGAGAGACGACGACGAAACCTTCTAACACGTTACCATCTTCTTGTTGCCTTCACAATATCATCATCATCACTGTGTTCAAGCCACCCCACGATCAAGAAACAGACATACATCTTTTCTGATAGCAGATGATCTCATAATAATATAAAATGCAAAAGGAAACAAAAATGATGAAAGGGAAAATGAAGTAAACAACACATTACCTGGTTCTTAGGTCGCCGTTTGGAGACCAGCTCACTGCAACTACTGAATCAGAAGAAGAATCTCTATCTCCATTACCAACCGTTACTCCATCTTTAAGGAGAACATTTGGATTCAAATTAGAATGTTGCAAATTCAAATACCCATCCAGGTTATTAGAAAACTATCGCCAACATCAAATCTTCCAATTCCATTCAATTGGGAACAAATTGGTACCTTTTGAAAAAGGAGACAAGTGAATCCCTAATCAACAAAGTCGCTAGGAGATTATTTTGAGAAAAAAGAAGGGGTTATCCAGCTTCTTCCAAAAACCCTTGGATTGAGGATGATTAGATGGGAAACGATGAGAAAGATTAGGTTTCTAAAAATCCTAAAATTGGAGAAGATACCTTAGAGCAGAAACATGTGATCGATGGTCGATGATGATGAAAGGGAGTATCCATCTTCTTCCATGTTCTTTACCCTGGTTACCAAAGTGATTAATTTCTCGATGCAGTTACCCAAAATCAAACCTCCATTCTCCCATTCCCGGTTATTTGTATGCCATTGTTCTATGCGATTTTACCTCCATAAATAGATTAGATGAGAGAGAGGGGAAGGAGACTAGGATGTTGGTAAGAACTGGTGTTTTTTACCTATAGAAATCTGGTGGGTTTGTATGCCGAGATATGGATGATTGGTGGTGAAGACGAGTCCTCCAAGTCCAGAGAAGTGAAAAAAGAGGAGGAGGGAGGCAGCAACAACAAGTATCAGTGGTTGTTTGGCTTGCTTGTCATCGAGAAAGAAGAATGAAACATGCCGGAATAGAGTGTAACAACCTCCGTTTTCTGCTTGAGTTTTAGAGAGAGAGAGAGAGAGGTAGGCCTCTCTTTTTTTAATTATTAAAATAATTATTTGATTTAAAAAATTGAAAGAAAAATAAAAAATAAATACCCCAAGGGTATTACAGTCATTTCACTTTACCGAGGGACCAAAAACGCAACGAAACTACCTCAAAAGGACCACCAATCCAAAAAATTCGTGGTTTGGACTAAAACCCCAAAAAAATGCATACCACAGGGACCATTTTTGCAATTTTGTATCTAATAAATGAATAGTTTTAATCTCATTTTGCCAAATGTCACTCTAATACAACTCCTCATTAATATTATGTCATGTGTCATGTAGATATATATTAGGCAATTCATTTCAAAATTCAAATTTACATTTTCTAATTATATGTTAAATTTGAAGTTATAACAACTTTAAAAATTTGATATATCTCTTAATTAATGATTTATTTAAAATAATTGATTAATAATTATAATTTTTTATTATGAAAGTTTAATTAATTTTATAACTCGTGGTTCCCACGGGTTATAAACTAGTATGTTAATATATATATATATATATATATATTATATATATATATCTATATATAATTGATTAATAATTATAATTTTTTATTATGAAAGTTTAATTAATTTTATAACTCGTGGTTCCCACGGGTTATAAACTAGTATGTTAATATATATATATATATATATATATATATATATTCTATATATATCATACATCATACATACTTATAAAACTAGCATTTTTT